CTTTTCATATCTAGCAACACCCAGACCTTAATATCATCAGCAAATTTAAGTAATTTATTGACTATTCCTTTATCTTTGTCATTAATGTAAATCAAAAAGAGCAAAGGTCCTAAGACTGAGCTCTGTGGTACCCCAATTGCAACATTAATCTAGTTTGACTGAACTCCTTTGTAACAACCCTCTACTTTCTTCCATCCAGCCACTCTTCTATCCAATTTGCTGACTTATCCCCCACACCTAGAGCTTAAACACTTCCTACCTATACAGTAAGCTTTAAGTTGTTTATTTTATTGATTTCTTAGGAAACGTATGTTTCTATATTGTCTTCAAGCCTTTATTGTAAATGTAGTAAACATTTTAATGTATTCTTTCTAAACTTCCATCTGTATCAACAACTTCTTGCATAAAAACTTATGTTTTGAATAATCATAAAGCTGTTAATTATTTTTAAAGTATTTTACATTGGTGATGGAATTAGGGAAAAATTCCGAAATAAATATAGTTAAATATTTATAATTGTATTATTTCTTAAAATACGTATGAAACATTTTAATTTCTGTAAAGAGGTCATCTAGTATTGTCACAAATTTTCTTGCCAAATATAGTAAACATTGAACTGTATTTGTTTTTCTAAGATTGATATGAATTTGTTTTCACTGAACTATATATATTAGCCATCACATATTGTGACAAGAATCTGTACTAATTTGATCACATGAAATCTGAGGATAATTATTTTTTAATGAAGAATTAATTTATTTAGTCATGAAAATTTGTAGGAAGAAACTCGCAGAGTGGTATTAATCATATTTTCAGCTTGTTACAACTCTTGTATTAAATTGTTTACATGATACATTTTCGTATACAAAAGGTTGAGGACTAGAAAGTAACTTAATCCTAAATTGTTGTACAATGGGTACTTCAAAAATGTCTAGAAAAATTTGAAACAAGGTGAAAATAGGAAGATTAGTCTCGTGAGAATAATCAACCAATAAGCCTGATGATTAATCAATTAGCAAGTTCCACAAATCACCTAGGTCTATTATTGATGTGAACTTATGTTACTATTCCATTTATGTTATTGAGTTTTAATTTTTTTTTTATTCTAGAGTTTAAAACTACTTTCATGCTGACTAGATAACATTCAGTTCTGAGCTATGAGTTTTAAATACAAATTTCAGGTAAACCTGGCAGAAGTTACCTCTACATGTTAATTGTGTTTGTTACAGAATTATATAAACTTGCCATAAGAAGTCACTGGAACATCATTTTTAGCAATTTGTAGAGTGTCTATAACTTTAGGCTACTATTTTTTTTATTTTTTATTTTATTTTACCAAATAGTTTTCTTTAGGTGGATTTCTTTACAAAAAATTAAATATAATGTTTACCCTTTTTTATTGCTTGTCAAAGTTGAAATTATTTTAAACTTATGATGTCTGTCTATTTGTACAAGTTTGTTAAACATACCGTGTAATTTCTTTTTGTAGCTATGAAATTGCACTATGGGGATATGACAGATGGTACATGTTTGTTGAAGCTGATCAGCCAGATACGCCCAACAGAAGTATATAATTTGGCAGCTCAAAGTCACGTGAAAGTAAGAGACGAAAAAAACTGTGCACTTGTTTAAAAAAATTTTGATTTTATAAGTGTGTAAAGAAAAATAGTAGCATGCACTATGTTTAGAGCTGGGTGATTTAATAAATTAATCAAATACTAATAAGCAGCTATTACATTGATTAGTGTCATGTAAGCTATTTGATTAATTGAAATTATGATTAAGTTGATTAATCAAAATTAGTGCTTTTGATTTTAAATATTTTCAGTTGCTCCAACAGTCGACGAATCAAAATTATGATTAAATTGATTGTCAAGAACATAACCAACTAGTGAAAATTATTACTATTTTTAAGTATTGTAATTATATAAGAAAATGGAAATATTGCTACTATGTTTGATTGTTGTTAAGCTACTCAATGGGCTATCTGTGCTGTACCCAGTTTTATCCTTAAAGTTTTCTATACTCTGGTGATTTGGGGGGGCATGATTTTGTAGTCATGAGCTCAATTCCCATTACCACCAAACTTGCTTGCCCTGTATTTGTTATGGCAAACCTACTAAGGCTTTCTGCCACTATCACTAATTTTGAACAGCTGACTAGAGAGAAGAAAACTGTCTGGCAGTGCCTGGTAGCAACTTTTTAAAATTGTTTAAAATTATAATTTAATTTGCAAGGAATGTATGTATTTGGGATGTTTAATTGTTGTTTCTTGTCTTAGGTTTCCTTTGATTTAAGTGAGTATACAGCCAATGTTGATGCTCTTGGTACTCTCCGAATTCTTGATGCCATACGTACGTGTGGATTGGAGGGAATTACACGGTTTTATCAGGCATCCACTAGTGAACTTTATGGAAAGGTACAAGAAGTTCCACAGAGAGAAACTACTCCTTTCTATCCTCGTTCCCCTTATGGTAAAAATATTATTTCTTCCATATTTTATTTTTAAAGCTTTCATAAAGAGAATGTTTTACTTTTCTATGAAATATTTTTACCATCTTAATAAGAATACCTCAGCTTAAGATGTATTGTACACTGAGTGGTCACAAGTAAATAGACACCTAATTTTTCGTCATTCAACTGATTTATGCTAACTAATTTGTGTTCACAGAGCACTATATAAACGAAAATGGTCTGCACACTAATTATCTTGTGCTACAACATGCTTAGAACTCAAGGTTCTCTCGAATTGTCAGATTTTGTTAGAGGAAGGATAGTTGATCAAGCAGATGGTGGAATAAGTCAGCGGCAAATTTTGCAGAATTTGGAAATCCCGCTTTCGACAGTCAACAGAGTCATTGTGCAGTTCAGAAAACACGGCAAGGAAACAACTGAGCAGCGTCCGGGTCGTCTTGGTCCATAAGAGAGGACAAAAAGTGCTGTCAAGAGGAGCATCGAAATGGATTCCAGATTAACAACTGCAGAAGTGGCCAAAGTTAGTGGGATGAGCCCGAAATCTGTTTAACGGATTCTCCATAGATTTGGGTTATCGTTGCAGAGCA